GTTAACATTATAAACAATAATAATAATAATATTAAATCCCCTTTTATTGATGATTATTTACATGCTTGAAATTTAAATTAAACAATTGACTCTAAAATATCTACATAATTGTTTTTATTATAACAATACATATAAAAAATAAGAAATAAAATAGAGAGAAGAAGATTAATTGAAATACCTCGTAGCAAGCTTTGTTAAATCTTCCGAAATGGAAATTCTAGGTGCTTTGTGGCAACCTTTCACACTACACAAATGCCTCACAAATCTCAAGAAATACAATAGGAGGGAGAAAGGGAGAAATTTCAAGCTCTAAGGAGTTCTGGACGAAATTTTGTGGCCTTGAGAACTGTGCCCGAGATGTCTATTTATAGGCATCAGAAGGGTGCCAGAACGCCCTGTTCCAAAATTGGAACACCCCGTTCTGAATCTGGCCGTTCTGTGTTAATTTTGTAATAAGAACGACCAGTTCTGAAACTAGAACAGCCTGTTCCAGAGATAAGATTAACACGTAACTAACTATACTGGAACGACCGTTCCAAACAAGGATTTTAAGGCTTTTTAATAATTTGGAACGGCCCGTTCCAGTTTTGGGATTTAGCCCTTTTTTAGGAGCTTGGAACGACCTATTCCAGTTTAGGAACAGCCCGTTCCAAACTAGGATTTTAGGCCCTTTTAGGAACTTGGAGCGGCCCATTCCAAATTGGGAACGGCCCGTTCCGGTTTTGCAACAGCCCGTTCCGGGCTGCTAAAACCAACTTATTTGGGTTTTTAGGCCTTCTGATGTCATGTCTTGTTGTTTCCATACTTCGGGAGTTTCTTTCCTTCGATAATGAAAGTCCATTTCCTTATTTGTATGCCCCACACGAAATTGGATGTCTACACTTCACACCAACCCAAAATCTTAACTCTCACCTCAACTCACTCAGATTTGTATCTCTGTCGTTATAAAACTTTAATTTTGATTATGTCTAGAAATAGATAAGCACATATATTTAGAATCTAATAGCGTAAGTTAACTATAATTTGAAGATACTTCTAAACTAAATAAAATCGATCGATATTTTTAAACAAATAAAACACTATAAGACAGTTAAGTTTAGTTTAATATATATACCAAAAAAAGAGTTTAATATTCCCGTAAATATGAGATAAAATATTGTTGGTAGGGAGTCTACATGAAAAATCTACCTATTAATTAGTTACCTTTCTTTATACCCTAAAAAAAAAAAATCTTCGTAATCCTCGATTTAAAGGAAATATCAAACTGACTTTTATTAATAATAATAATAATAATAATAATAATAATAATAATAATAATAATAATAATAATAATGATAATGATAATCCAAAATATGATATACCTAAAAATATAGTACTATATGAGCTTATTTGTTTACTTACCACATGAAATTTATCTGAGTTATACAAAAATTTTCTGACTTGCATGAAATTTAAAGCGAATTTCAAGTAATATCGTTAGAAATTCTAAATAGAAAACTCGATTCAATTGTTAGGGCAGAATCATTGTGCACTACGCAATAAGCAGGTTATAATTAACTAATATACTTTTTTATTGTTAACCAATATTGGAGAATTTTATTTAATATAATTAACGAGGCCTAGCTAAAATAGGGAACTTCACAAGATGGTAGAAGCACCTATTAAAGCTCGTCATAACACAAGAGTCAATATATAGATTATTAACTTAAAAAATAATATTAATATATATATATATGGAAACGGCCCGTTCTGATTTTGGAACGGGCCGTTCTAGACCACTAAAAATAGTTAATTTGGGCTTTTGGGCCCTTTGATGTCCTATCTTGTTGTTTGTATGCCCCCTGGACGAAATTGGATGTCTACAGCTGTCCCTCTTTACTTGTCCTTTGGAATAGCTATGTTGTTTTTCCAAAGGCAAGTAAAGACGTAGACATTTCGTCCGGGTCTTCTTCTCGTCTCTGTGTTGATGGTTCTATGTTGCTTCCCTTGGACATGTGTATTTGCTCGTATCCTCACCCTTTAGAGCAATTGAGCATTGATTGCGTACTCTATTGGGTAACAAGGTTGACAAACTGTACACCTGATCTTCAGTCTTTGAGTAAAAGCTCCATTGTTTCTTTTGTGATAATGAGGTGAAAATTCGGATCTTCACTCTTGTTTTGACAATAGATACCTTCACATTGTTTCCTTCAGGTAGACAGTGTCCCCTTTATCCTCGCCCCTTGGAGCAACTAAGTGTTGGATTGTATGCTCTATCGGGTGTCAAGGATGGTGAACCAAAACATCTAGGCTTCAAGATCCATGTGAATGCCCTAAGTCGCTTGCTATGTCCGAATCTTCTCCTTTACTTCAGCAGTGTAGATGCCCCCCACACCATTTCCTTCGGGTAGATGGTGTTTACCTGTATCCTTGTCCCTAAGAGCAACTGAGTGTTGGTTTATATGCTCCGTCGGGTGATAAGGATGGTAAACCGAAACATCTAGGCTTCTGGACCCCAAAATTTCGTCCAAAACTCCTTAGAGCTCGAAATTTCTCTCTCTCTCCCTCCTATTGTATTTCTTGAGTTTTGTGAGGCTTATTGTAGTGTGAAAGGTTGCCACAAAGCACCTGAATCTTCATATTTGAAGATCCAATAGTGCTTGTTCAAGAGGTATTTTAGTCAATCTTCTTCTCTCTCTTTTATTTTTTATCTTTGATAAATATTGTTATAATAAAAGCAATCATGTAGACATTTTAGGGTCAATTGTATAATTTAAATTTCAAGCATGTAAATAGTTATTAATAAAAGGGGATTTAATATTTCTATTATTATTATTTTTAATTGTAATTTCATCATAGGGTACCGATTAAGGGCGTTGTAGGGGTGCTTAATACCTTCCTTACACGTAATCGACCCCCGAACCCAATTCTGGTTATCAAGGCCATTATTG